CAATCATACGATTCTCGGCGAGTTAGTGGCCTGCTTGTTCGACAACCGCCGAATGGGCCAGTGTGCGCACGCGCACACTGCCCGTTTGCAGTCATCGGAAGCCCGCCCCTCATTGCAGTCATCGGAAGCCCGCCCATCAAGTTTTGTTTTGGTGGTTTTTTATTAACCACTGTTTTTATTTTTTTACTATATAAAGTAAAAAAGGTCAAAATGTTAAAAGACAAAGCTGTTTTCCTTACTTTCTGTTATTAAACATAACAAATAAATATTCCAGCACAGTACAAACACCCCCAAAACGGAAAACAGACACCCCAAGGTAATGCCATTTTTTTTTTGTCACTTTTTCTTTTTAAATGTACAGGTCATACCTGGAAGGTGGAGATGACAGGGTTGATGTGCATGATAAGGGAGTGGAAGGGATTAATATACCCTTCCACTCCCAGAGTGGAGCTGAGATGCACAATTTCTACAATCAACCTGCCTGGCTGTCATCTGCCTACTAATAAATAAATAATGAATTAGTCCTTTCTCTCCTTCCTCCATTGTAAGAGGTAGGGAAGTGCTGTCAGATATAAACATTATATTGTTTCCATCTGTGATTGGTCATCACAGTGATCACAAGGTACAGAGCTGCTTCGATTAGCTCTGTAAACTATACCTGTGTTCTAAACTGTCCAATGACAGCTCAAATGGCACACTGGCCCTCCTAGGGTTATTTCTGCAATGACCTTTATAAACGTCCACCACTTCATCGTTCATAAACATACATTGGTAGACAATTAGTTGAACTGTGATCATCCTAGATTTTTATTTGAAAAATATGCAGATTGTAGTAACAGTGTGAGATGATATAAATAAAGCTTTCAGTTCAGAATATCCCCAATTTAAAGGCCCTTTATCACAGAGATGAAACACAAAAGAAAAGTAGTATAAGCAGTGTAATGAAGGCTAATTGGGTCGCTATGCCTATATGTCCAGCAAAACAAACGTAAATTCAGACCTACTGGCTGCCACCATGGAACCCAAGTAAATGGGTTGTGGGTCTCCAATGGTGACAGATACCCATGAAGCACCTGGCAGCTACAGACAATGTTATGTTTCTATTTGCTCAATGTGACATGATGTTCAGAGCAGTGTTTTCCTAGTAAGAAACAAATATTTATTTTTAGTTATTCAGAATTGTATTTTTATTTGGTAATAAATATATGTTTGATTCACATGAGTTGTGATTTTTAGTGATGGGTACATTTTAATAAGATATAAAGCAGTGTGCAAGGTGCAGCAACCAGAAATTGCCTTTTATTGTTCCTCTATACTGTGATTAAAGCAGAAATGTAGCTGCTATGGCTAACAGAACATAATTTCTCTTCTCTTTGTTAGTTAACTGTCTAAATAATTTTTTGTTATCGTACTAGGAAAACCCAATTCATCACAAACACTCCAGGGAATCCACCTCAAAGCAAGGAAGTGATAATGAGAAGGTAATGGCGACAGACTGGGCATGATACTCTCTAATGGCTTTAGCCTACATTGCAAACTCTTAGAAAGTTACTTATCCAAAATGTGGAGAGACGTTTATCTTTTCACAGAACTGCATGATACCGATGATGTAAAATTAAAATATCTGCTAGAAGCAAATGTCCGCCTGATTGGGGCCTGGACAAGAGATTAGCTGCCAAAATATTGTTCACGTATGCACCTTGTTGAAAGCAGGAGCATCTGCCCTTTGGAAATAATTGCTTTGTGGATTCTGTACTGGAAAATGCAAGGCGAGACATGCCAGTTAAGCACTGCGCATCCAATACTGTTTTTTCTTTGATTGGTGTTCAAAACGAATTTAAAAAAAGGCCTTGACAATTTCTCTTCCACTTTGCATGGTGTCTGCTCACTCTCTGTATTTTTAGATCCCATTATAGTGCACAGCAGCATAAACCTTTATTCAGAGCCGATGAAAGCTTTTTACTGGGCTTGGAAACCATTTTTAACACCCACACATTGTAAAGCTTTATGCTGAGGGGAAATGGAAGCTGTGTGCCATGCAAGCATTTTAAACAGCAACTCTAGGTCACAAGTAAAGACAGTCGACTAATGCTAATGCCATTTAGCAAGCATTGCAACTATAATGAAGCCAAAAAGTCCCCTCAGCTTAATCTGTGTTTGATGTACTGCAGACAGATTCATTAGTTGCTCACAGGTCTTGGAATTCTCATGACTCTTTGTGCAATGCAACCTCCAGTGAGTGTGAAAAAGACTGCAGTAGGCCTTGTTCACACCAAATGCAGACCAGATCTGCATGAGTTTCTGCACACGCAGTGCAGGGGGTTGTGCCGCGTTTTTTGCCGTGTTTTTGATGCATTTCCGGCCTTTTTTGGTAAAAACATTTTTTTTTTTTTAAACTGGCTTTCAGTGCGTTCCAGGGTCGTTTGCATGCGTTCCAGAGCAGGTAAAATAGGGCCTGCTGCAGTTTTTTTTACCTGCTCTGGAACGGAACGCTGCAATATGAACTGGAGCTAAAAATACCATTGGAATACATTGGACGCAGTTTTGCTCCGGTCTGTAACTGCTCTGCTCCTGGAACGCACTTGGTGTGAACAAGGCCTTAGACAGAGGACGGTGAAAGAACCAGTTAATTCATAAGCTCGTGTTTAAAGTGAACCTGTCCTGGCCTAATAATTGACTAAGGTAACAACAGTTATGAAATGCAGGGATCTTGTGGCACCTTAAATTACTTGTGTTAGTCTTCCGTTCAATGTTTTCCCTTGTGGAACATCTTGGATCCAAGGTTTTGGCTGTACACAAGGCCTCTCTAAGTCAATATTAAGCCCCCTACCCCTTATGTGCACTATGCCTCACCCCCTGTCATTGAGCTATCAGACACTTTAGTAGGTTTAGTTCATTGGTCATTAGTTGAGCTGACATTATGGGTTAACTCTTGTGCAGTTATGGGCAATGGCATCATAAGGTTTTCCAAAGTGAAATGGACTCTTCTTTCTATGTGCACTTTATTCACTGGGCAATCTTGGTGAGTGGTATGACTATCAGATAGATAGTCATACCACTCACCAAGATTGCCCAGTGAATAAAGTGCACATAGAAAGAAGGCGTGTCAAACTTAAATGAAACGTGCTCATACTGATTAGAACTCTGCAAGCGACCTCATAAGATCTGAGCGATATACCTACCAAATATAAAAACGAATAATATCCTTATTGGTTGACGTAGCAATACCTACAACTACAATATTTTATTCAGATGCCGGAAAACGTTTATAATGAAGTATTCACCTGCAAGAATCCAAAGTTTTAAACTGTTACTAGAACAAGAATAGAGGAGAAACCCTCCCTTATTGTGGAAAGATTTCCTTTCACTTTCTGTTGTGCCTCTGGGATAGGAAGTGAATGAAAGGTTAGATGTCCAGTGGGTCACATATGGCAAAAAACATGATGGGGGTTTTAATCCTCTTCTGCTATATTGTATAGTTTAGAAATAAAGTTTGGATTTAGATGTGCTTAAAGGGCAGCAAACTTGTAACAAGAGTATAAAAAAATTAGAGAGCTGCATTTAGGTCACCTGGCCCTGGTTGGGAGACAAGTAGTTAATTTACATCCGGTATGATGGAGAATGCATATGAATATGTTTGTCTTTTTATTGCTGTCTGTAAGACTTTTTTCTTTTCAAGGACATTGAAGAGACTATACAGAAAACAGATACAGCATATGATGATTCCACTAACTATGATGAGGATTTTGAAGTAAGTAATGACCTGAATATGCTGTCCATTGGTATACGCTCTGAACAATGCACTAAAAAAAGTGTTTGTCCTTGTAATATTTTAATATGTGATCTGCAGGATTATGATGACGATTTTGAAGAGGCTAGTGAAGAGGAGAGGACTCCGGTGAAATCACAGGAAGAGCGGCCACCAGTTCAGAGGAACAGAGAGGTAGAGGAAATTCAGAAGGCCATGTTCCTGGAGAATGAAAACATAACTTCAGTTCCGGCTGTACACCGACAAAACGGACACGACCATCATGATCAGGACTCTGAACCAAAAGGTATCCTCTTTTCAGGTTTTCTGAACTGTTTGGTGTTGTTCTACACAACGGTATTGAAACCTGCCAGCATTTAGCCTCTACCAGCATAGGAATTTCAGACATACTGCTCCAGGTGCATCTTAACTCTAAGGCCCCGTTCACACCGAGGCGGCATTGTTTTCTCTCACGGGTTCAGCTAGCGTCTTTTGGCACGTTAATGCGCGTTTTGAACATTTTTACGTGCGTGAAAACACGCGCATATGAAGATGTGCATTTTGACTGGCAGTTTAAGAAACATTGCGGTCAATGGACGAAACGCACAAAAAGCATGAAAATGTGCAACATGCTTCTGACGTGTGTTTCCATTGAAGTCTATGGGCGTTTTGCTGCTCGGGTGTGAACAGGGGCCATTGAAAATCATAGGATGATGGGATGTGAACCAGGCCTTACCTCCAACTATTATGACCGTGGCGTGGTTTATATTGATGGCAGATGAGTACAAAAAATATGAAGGATTCCCCACACAGCCAGACTGTAAAAACCTTTTTCTTTGTTTATTAAATGCACAAGATATAGCTCTTGCACGTTTCACACTCACAAGGGCTTGTATGCATGAAACACAATGTATCCTGTGCCATTTAGTGCACTAAGGAAGAAGTTTATTAGTCTGATTGTGAGGTAACTCCTTATTATTCTTGGTGTACAGCCTCTGCTATTGTGACTAACCTGTGATGGGTGGAGGGGAGTGGAGAAGCCTCCTGCCTACACATTGCACATAGTGCATTCAATTTAAAAAGTGACAAACTATGTAGTTTAATCTTAAAAATGCATTTAAGTACCCTAACTATTAACAAAAATGTATCTTATGTGTGTATCACTCGGGTGTAGATCCTCAAATCATCTCTGAATTGGTGCTGACACTGTCCTTCCTTCTGGAGGGTGGCTACTTTTGTTCCCCATGGTCCCTGTGTGTGTTGTAAAGTAGCCACCGCTCCAAGCTCACTCCTGTGATGGACTACACTCTCACTTTTAGTTTACTAATTTGTGTTGAGATTGTAGTCCATCACAGGAGCGAGCTTGGGGCGGTGCAAGCTACATTTTTGTTAGTGTCACTTTAAGAGCACAAAATGTTTCCACTAGTGAATTGCTAAATAGTCTGATGGAGGCTACAGCTCTTGAACAAACAGCTAGGAGACACAGGCCGTTGTTTAGTTGTGTATAATAGCTCTTCTGTTGCCGGGAACTTTCATCGGGAAGGTGACTGACAGGGTCGCTTTAAGAAGAAGACAATACATTATTCTGATTTTAGGTGATTCATAATCCCGAAAATATAGAAACATTCAGGCTTATTCTTAGCTTAGTGTTCTGAGCAGTAGTTATTCTGTGTTTAGGGTTGCTCCACTCCAATAAAAAAGTCAATATTTTTTAGCGATGAACTTTAGAGGATATCCGAAATGTTCTGGAACTCTGTCATGAAAGGGTCTTTAAGAAGAGCTGTCGGTAAAGTCTCCTAACAACCAATCAAAGTGACACATTCATTTTATAACTCGTAATCTAGTGCAAGTCTGAATCTTATTGTTTCCTTTGGGTAGAAAACTGATAAATAAGGCCCATTGTGATTGTCCATTTTTTCCATAAGGGAAACTTTATCTCTTATTATTTGATTGCTTGGAGATGACTTCTGCAAGGCTTTTCCTTATTAAGCTGACCTTATTATGACGTTGAGATTTTAGGAATCTATGTGTCGTTAAACCTCTGTATTATTAACACACAGATGTATTTGCCTCCTATATAAAGCTGAAAAGTGAAGATAAATGGTTTAGCTAATAGCGCCAGAGACACCTGTCCAGACAGCAGTAATCTTCACCGATCACATGATGGCCATTTAAAAAGCTCCTGTCACATGATGTCTTGCTCTGTCTTAGTGTCACTCAGGATTCAATACAAATTACATTACATAGCTGATGGCACATTTTCCATTTCAGGTTGCTGTCAAATTAATTCATTTTTCCTACATATGCTTTATTTATTAGGATGCACCCTGTCTGAACAATAAAACACAAGTACGTTGTACACTATAAGTACTGTTAGCAGACACAGATGAGCTTATAAACAGAACTAAAAAAATGAAGATGTGTTATATTATATGAAATGTCTAGAAATTGTAATTGTGCCTAAGCAGTACCGTGAAAGATTTAGCGTTTATCTTCAATTCCTCCTGAGAAATAGCAGTGCACTTTTTAGTATGTGAGGGTTCCCAGGCAGTCCTGTGCCTACAGACTCATTTGTGTATATCTGCAGTGTAAGAGCTAAAACACTGCTGCCCCTGACTGCTAGTTTAGGGAAATCCGGAGTGAGATTTGGTGTGGATGTCACTTTGGATTTCACTACTGTGCAGCTCAATGTTCTTCATGGTGGAGGCTCACAGACATCAGAACGCAAAGCCCTGCCTCTACCAAGATGGCCGCCTTCACACAGAAGAAGGCATAATAGTAATGGGAAAAAGATCAGCTGCAGGAAACCTACAGGCAATACTGGTGACTAGTCCTTTGCCCGCTGCCTGTTTTTTTTTTTTTTTTTGGCAAAACTTCCTAAACTTAGTTCCCCTATGAAATCCTGTATGTAATAGCAGACCTGGCCAGAGGGGTCATGATGGGGAGTCACAGTTCCCATACTTTTCAAATCTTACATTCTCTTGGCATATGCATACTTACTAAAACTGCTGCTTTGTATCTGTGGGATCCTGTGTTGAGTCCCCCAAGCATAATTTTTGTGTCAGTCACCTTTGGGTTATTTAAATACCAATATGAATTTGCTCAGTATGATCGTTCAGGGCCATGGTGCCTCATTGAGAAAAGCTGCTTCCTCGTAGCTGTCAGGCCTTTGTTTAATCCCCTACTTATTATGCTTGTATCTGAATTTGCTTGTTATGATACTTCAGATCACTTACACCCACATACTGTAGAACGTCTGACCAATAATTGTAAGTACCCCTTGGTTCAGGCTTATATTGGTTCTCCTTGCGCACTTTAATTTTTTAAGACTGATATTAATTTGAATACACAATATGCTCAATTCACATAAAACACAAGGATAATGATTCTTCTTTCCAAAAAAGCAACAGTTATTTTCAGCTGCGTCCAATGCGATTTTAAAAATGACAGTCACATGGATGATGTATTTTGATTTCACCGTATCTTTGTGTCTCCTTTTGCAGAGGTAAATTCCAGTAGGAAGGCTCATAGAGGAGTATTTATAGATTTTGGATCTGCAAAACAACGTCAAGTTAGCAGTCAAATCGCCAGCAAGCAAAAGTAAGTGTATCTGGCTACTTAGAGCATTCATTGACCCAAAATAAAGTCTAAATATGACTGGACAGCGCAATAGGCACTAGAGTTTGACCACACTGCACTCTGTAATCTAGCACACCTAGCCAGGCATACCCCCCCTTTCCCCGCACTATATATATATATATATATGTGTGTGTGTGTGTGCAGGAATGCTTGAAATGAAGGGTGTAGCCATTAATCATCTATGCTATGATACAGTACTAGAGTATAAGGACACTCGAGTGTAAGGAATGTATGTCCACTAAGTGAAAACATTGGAAAGTATTTCAAAGCAAGAAACATGTATATGGAGAAGTGGGAAACATCAACGGGTTTGGAGGACGTATTTTCTTTAGATAAAATAACTTGGTTAAAATGAATTGTAATATGATGTGCTACAATTTTGAGAAATTATACAACAGCTTCCGTATGTTTCTTATTCATCGTGGAAAACAGTAGACCTCTGGGATCTACGCTCTGCCTAACAGGGACGTGTGGTTAGGGGAGGCAGGCACCTAGTATTATGGAGGAGAAAGCTGTCAGCTTCAAGTCTGAAGCTGACAGCTTTTTCTCCATTCAGATCTGCTTAAAACAGGTTACACAGTGGTGAAAGCCTCCCCTCTGTGTAACTTGTCATGGATGGAGCGCTGCCTGTTAATTACTGGCAGCGCTGCATCTGGCTTTTGATAGGTAGTTAGGTTACACAGCAGAGGGCTTCCCCACTGCTTGTGTAACCTAACTAGTGAGGCAAGAGCTGTCACAGCCTCTACTTTGTTAGAGGTGTGAGCTCTGTGCATGGTTTGGACCAATGGCAAAGCGCCATTGGTCCAAGCTGTCCAATCAAAAAGAGAAAAAAAACAAAAACACTGTGGGCATTGATCTCGATGCCTCAGCAGTGACAAGCATGTGAGGGACAGGGAGAGTCCTCCCTTCCTCCTCCCTCCCTCCTTCACACTACCCGGGGTTCTGGTGGGATATGGACATGCGGGGGCAGGGCTGTGGAAAGCCTCACCAGGAAGCGAAGGTCCCGCACGTCACTGCTGCCTACAAACTGACATAACAAAGCTGCAAAAAAGCACACACACCCCGGGTAGGTATGGTGTTTCTACTGTACATTCTTGATAAACAGTTGCTGCAAAAGAATCAATGGGCCAGTCTGACAAAATGTTCTAAACAGTTGAACCGAAAAAGCTTTGCTCAATGGCACATCTTTTACTAAAATTCTATTTCCTGAGCAGTTAGAACTGCTTCTGTCTCAGTAGCAGATCACTGACATCTTTTGTGGTGTGTGCTTCTGTGCAGGATTAGCTCAATGCACATGGTAAGCAAATATAAAATTCTCCTTCTGCATTATAAGTTTAAGTGGAATTGCAACTAAAACCAGATTAACGTGATTCTGTTGCATTAAGATCCTCATTCACATTAAGATCCATCCTCATATCAGAAGCCCCCCTCTTCACATCAGGAGCCCCCTTCACTTTACAATACTGCCTGTGCCATGGAAAGGCGTGATGCTGTGTAAAATTTTCAAGACACCCCTGAGGAAGGCAGAAGGCGCCCAAGGGTACTATAGCACCCTTGTTGAGAAAGGCTGCTGTAGAGTATGGCCTCATTCACACTGATAAGAGCCGACCCATACGGATCCGTGAAGCGCGCACGGCCGTATCGGACCACTCCCGGGAAGGACAGGTGCATGTGATTTGTACACAGCAGCCTGTTCTTCTCTATGGGAGTACTCGGCCGTATGTTCACCCAAACTACATGTCCATGCGGGTGTCAGTACTCGTACGCAGACGGGATGGATCCTGTCTACGTCCGAGCACAGGCACCCGCACAGGCACAGATGTGCAGTTCAGGTGAGCATACAGCCGCATACTCCCATAGAGAAGAACAGGCTGGTGCATACAAATCACGCGCAGCACCTGTTCTTCCTGGGAGTGGCCCGATATGGCCGCACAGATCTGCACGGCTCTTATCAGTGTGAATGAGGCCTTACTGTGAAATTAGTGCCACTGAGGAAAGATATATATTTTTTTTTTTTACATTTTATTTTCTGGTTAGGGCTGCCAGACCTAACAAAGTTTCTAACCGTCCCTCACTCTACCCAAAACAAAATGGTTTCACTGGAATTCCAACTTTTTAAATAGTTTTTGTTGTTGTTATAAACTGATATTGACATTTCTTACTTTAGTCTAGTGGCACTCTATTTATATCTGTCACAGAAATCTCATAGATTTTCTTTAGAAACGTATAGGATTAACCCTGTACAAGTGCTGCTGTGATTGAAGGGACAAGTCCCTTTACATATGAAGATTATTTATGGCTTCACATTGTAATCATTTACTCTACATTGTTAAAATGATATAGTTTGTTGTTCCCAAAGTAAATATGTTGTTAGACAGGTCCTTTTTAATTTGTGTTTCAGAGGCAAACACCTGCCTATCTTTGTAGTTTGGCACTGATAGGTTGATTTTACATATTGACAAGCTGGGTAGTTTGTGAAATAGAACTGCTAAAATGATTTAAAATGTAAAAAGGTGTGGGAGAACAGGGATTTTTCTTCACCCCGGGTAAATATGTCCTGCTTTTTCTCCCCCAGAGCACACTTTGTCTTTGTATGTTGGAAGATTTCCTCATTCAATGGTGAAGTCCGTCTTGCAGTCATAAGCTTTGAGAAGGGAACTACATTTTTGTTGGTGCTGTAGATTTTAGCCCAGGACTGGGAGCTTTACATTGACCTGGTCTCAAGACTACTTTGGCATGCAGCAGATGTGTAGATCTGCAGGGAGAATGTTAGGGGATAGGTTTAGGTTAGTGCTAGGGGTTAGGTTTAAGATTTAGGGGGTTAAGTGTTATAGATAGATAGATATATTAGGCTCTATGGTTTAGGGCAAATTAACAGGTTCACTTACCTACCCCCCTCCGCCAGCAACACATACTCAACTTTTCTTTGCTTTCCCATTCATCTTCGGTTGAGGGTGAAATGTTCGGGTTGAGTTACTTGTTTATGTGCTATTGGTTAATTTGTGGAATTATGTTCAGTTTTATGGTTCAGGTGAGGGAGGGCCTGCCCAAGGGTTAGATTAAGGTTGGTAGTCAGCATATGTATTTCATGGGGTTTGTTTTTAACTTTCCATGGCAAAAGTCATGTGTCCAGTGCTTGGTTCCTTGGCCAAAAAACAGCGTACCACTTGAGTTCCACCAAACAGAATTAAAAATCCTTTGTTAGGCAAAACAGTTCTAATATTTGTACTTCAGCTGTGTTTTTAGCTGCCTACTTAGAGTTCAGCTTTTAAAAACCTGCTCCATAGTCCTAGTTTGTGTTTTCAGATTTTCAGATAGAGTGGGAAGGGTTAGAACTTGTCCATATTGCCTTGCCTTCTGATTCCACGTTGTGCAGATTTCCTTTTACATCCTGTCCCAGTCATACCCTGACACACAGGATGTCACAGTGAGGGGGTAATCTCTCCAATGGGAGCACAGACCGCATTCAAAACCTGGCAGAGCGTCCAAGCTTTCCCCTCTTTGTGTAACAATTTAAAAAGAGGATTTGTTTAAACTAGGACTGTAATTCACATTGTAATATTTCACAAAAATATCCCTTGCATTAGCTCAGTAACAAACCATAGGTTCAACAATATGATGACTCAAGGAAAATGAATGTAAATGTGTCTAGTTCTGAATACAGCATTTCATTTTTCCTGAAAGAATGTGTATTGGCTGCAACTTCCTTCTAGTACTATGTTTCACAAGCTGTATATCTACTTCTCTATCGTCCATTGAGGGACACCGCTCTGAAGCATTTTGAGACGTAGGGTTATTCTGCTGCCTCCAGGAGAAATGGATACTAGGCAAAAAAAGAAAAGGACTCCAAGAAAAAGATTTTATGGTAAAAACAACATCCTATTTTTTTAGGAAACGAAGTTTGGAAATTCTTCGGCTCATCGATTTGGATTTTTCCTCCACTTTCTCTTTGTTGGATCTGGCCCCTGTTAAAGAATATGAGATGTACATTCGCAATTTTGGAAAGAGCAACACAAAGCAGGTGCGTACCTTACAATAAGTATGGCATCTAGAAAAGGGACAGGTGTATTAGGTTAGAACATCTACAGCATGCTAAGTATGAGCTTTGCACTTCCAAAACCATGGTGGCACTACTTAGGGCTTTTTCACACCAAATGCAGACCAGATCTGCATGAGTTTCTGTACACGCAGTGCAGTGTGTTATACCACGTTTTTTGCCACGTTTTTGATTTTTTTAAAAATATTATTTCTCTCCCGTTCATTGAAGGACACAGGCAACAGATCGTAGATCCTGAATGGTAGGGTAATATCGCCACCTGCAGGAGAAGGACGCTATGCACAAAACTAAAGACCAATCACAGCCTAGGGGCGGCCCCTGCCGGTGGCCAAACCCCCCACCTGCTGACAAGTCTCCAGAGCTTGAGGGGTCTTTTGGGTGTTTTGTTTGTTGTTGCCCATCCCTCAGTGTGTTACTGCTTGGTGACGTCCCTACCATTCAGGATCTACGATCTGTTGCCTGTGTCCTTCAATGAACGGGAGAGAAAATAGGATTTTTGTACTCACCGTAAAATCCTTTTCTCTCCGTTCATTGAAGGACACAGGCCCCGCCCTCTTAATGGGGTGTACACTCCTAACTGCTTGTTACTAAACTGGAGACTTGTCAGCAGGTGGGGGGTTTGGCCACCGGCAGGGGCCGCCCCTAGGCTGTGATTGGTCTTTAGTTTTGTGCCTAGCGTCCTTCTCCTGCAGGTGGCGATATTACCCTACCATTCAGGATCTACGATCTGTTGCCTGTGTCCTTCAATGAACGGAGAGAAAAGGATTTTACGGTGAGTACAAAAATCCTATTTTTTTAAAATGGGAAATCAGTGTGGTCCAGGGCGTTTGCATGTGTTTTTGATGCGTTTGCATGCGTTCCAGAGCAGGTAAAATAGGGCTTGCTGCAGTTTTTTTTTTACATGCTCTGGAACTGAACGCTGCGGTGGGAACTGGAGCCCAAAATACCACTGGAATACATTGGATGCAGTTTTGATCCGGTCTGTAAATGCTCTGCTCCTGGAACACGCTTGGTGTGAACTAGCCCTAAGGAGCAGAGCTATAGCAGCTTCAGCACCTTTATTCACTATATGACGCAAAAGGATTTGTTTTTGGGTACTATTCCTTATTATTATCAGCACACTTTAAGAGATTTCCCCCTGGTGAATTAGGCAAAGTGGGAGTAAGATATGGGCCCTGTTAATGAAGAACAGTGGCATAAAATGGTAACTGCCATCAAAAGTAAAAGTATTTTGAAGCATATATATATATATGTATTATTTTTTATTTATAGACCGTCTCTATTTTTTTCTTTTGTCATTCTGGTACTTTATACGTATATATGTACTGTATGTGCTTTTGAGTTTCATAAAATCTCCAGCCTGCCCTCTAGTGGCATCTCTAACACACTGGTTTTGAAAAAGAAAAATTGGTAGATCTTGTCCTAATCTTGTGTTTTAAATCACACTGGCCTATAGATTATCAAATCCATATGGTTTTATATATTTTTTTTTTTTTCTTTTTTTTAAAACAGGCTTATGTCCAGTGCAATGACGATGCTGTTGACAGAGAGATTCAAACAGAAGAAATAGATATTGAAGAAAAATGGACTCAACATCCAGCAGAGGGAGCTGTTGTATGTGGAGGTGACTAACTTGCAGAGCCAATAACTTTGTGTTTGTGACTTACACTGATAACATACATTTATGTCACAAGAACATTGGCTGCGATTTATATTGTTGGGCTATACTTAAACTAGTAACTGAGATAGAGAATGGATTTAATGGCTTAAACATGCTTTCTGCCTGCAAATTCTCGTGTCAACCCACCTGCTGCAGCCATCATGTGGGAGTCGCATTCTGCCTGTTGAATTCTCCATTTTATTTCATTAAAAGTAATTCGGCCGGTAGTCAGTTGACTTTGAGTGCAGTTAAAGAAGCTCTGTTTTACTCTAAATAGAACCTGGGCCTAGTTCACTCATTTAGACATTGCATTAAAATCAGAGGTCAAGATGCATTTTTAAGCCTCCCTACCACCTATTAACACATGTGTGTACTAGCATCATATCGTGTTGCAGTGCGGTAAAAAAACCAAACTAAATACAGAGTGCAGGTTTTGTCCGGTAGGCATTGCCGTTTGGCCACTGCTTCCTTTCATGTCTATTGAAGTTCAAGGAATATTGCTAAAGCATTTCTTGTCCGCTGGGGATTGGAGGTTCTGAAGTCCCAGAAAGCACTGGGAAATTTTAAAATGAGAGGACAGAACAGCTCCAGCTTCCACTTCCTGTCTGCACACCGCCAGCTTTGCCAGCCAAGAAGTGCCTTTAGCTACCTGCAGCGCCAGCCCGTACCAGAGCTGATCACTTCCTCTAAATCACTTTTTTTTATCATTTCCCCTTTAAAAATAACAGGAAACCAACACTTTCAGTGCTTTTTTCGACGATGCTTTGCATGCATGACCATGCAATGAAAATGCATTGTAAATAATTTTTTTTACTGCAGACAAAGATTTGCTACCTTTTTATAAAATTGAATTTTAGATTGTCAAACATTTCGGTCTGTCTATTGCAGGTCACAAAAATGATTTGGAAGGGAATGTGGGACTTAACTCAAAAGTTGATTCTCAGCGGCTGACTGGTTTCCTTCACTCTGCTGCTCAGGTAAGTCTGCTCATTTTCTTACAAAACTCCAGCCAAATGCAAAAACCTTGCAGGGAATGTATTCTCTTTCTTTATTATTGTAACCCAAAAAAGAATACAATTACAAAGATTATATACAGTGTGTGTATGTATGTGTAATTATATATAATATATATATATATATATATAAATGGGTAAGCCGTATTAGTCCACTAGACAAGATGTTAAGAAAAAAAAAAGGAGTATTGCAATGTGCAATGATACCTTTCTTATTGAACCAACAAAATATATAAAAGACAAGCTTTCGAGAGTTGACCTCTCTTTTTCAGGTCAGAAGCAATACACAATTACAATACAATACAAAAGTATTGCTTCTGACCTGAAGAAGAGAGGTCGAAGCTTGTCTTTTATATATTTTGTTAGTCCAATAAGAAAGGTATGATTGCACACTGCAATACTCTGTTTTTTTGTTTTACATCTTATATATTTTTTTAAATTCACACACAGTGACTTATCCCTTTATCAGAGAGCCCAGACTGGCATTTTAGTCAGACACACCGTGACTACTGTACTGTTAAACCATAGTGCTCTGGGAATAATTAATTCTGCAGTGTGGGCAATTGGAGCTTATTAGTGCGAGGGGGAGGCATAATATGTCAGCCATTGTAATGTTATCAAATGTCCTCCTATAGATGCATTTCATTTAGATAGCCCAGTATACATATAAGAGGGTTCAGGGGAATGACAGTCTGGAGCACCTATTGCAAAAGCTTGGACCTGCTATCTGTGAAATGTGTGACATTGCCATCACAGGTGTATAAGAGGGACAAGGTTATGCATCTAAAACAGATAGATAGGACCTGACATTGCACCAATTGATCTCTCTAAAGTATCTGGCATTTGTTTTCAAAGTGTAAAAAAATGAATGCTCCCACTATTCTTTTATGCAGAGAAATAAATAAATCATACTGCATGTACTTTTGTACAGAATCATAAAATAATTGCACATTCACTTAGTGCGCTTTCATGTGAAATGTCTGTTGTGTCTTGAAAGGTCATGGCTGTCTTGCTTGAAGAGAATCGTTCAGAGTCCCAGTCTCGAAGCAAAGTTCACACTAAAGAGCCCTGCATGTCCATCAGTGAGGGCTGCTTCCATTTAAATACCAGCCTGCCATTTCTTCAAGGTAAAACATGAAGATATTTTTTTTTTCTTGCTTGTTCCTTTTTAAAGCCTTGATGTAATCCTCTCAAAACCTGTAGAATTTAAGTCAGCTTGGTTGTATGGCTTAATGTTTATACTTCTTTTATTTCCTTTCCATTTCCAACAGAAAACGTTTATTCTCGGCAGGAGAGAGCAGCTAAAGACTGCTGTGCACTATGTGAGAGAGTTAGTCTCTGTACAGTGGTCTGACAAGTTCCCCTATCTTCTTATCATACAGAAGTGCACTCTGCAAAGCCCATACTTTTTAGTGGAGTGCAGCACTGTAGTGATAAAAAGGTGCTGGGGTGTGTGTTCAACTGCTGTGTAGAGACCGCTGCTTTCTCGCAGAATTATGCATGGTCCTGCCGGGAAAATGGGTTTTCTGCTGGCACTTTAGGAAAACTAAGTAAAGTAAACAGTAAGACATACAAGACTTTTTGAGCCAAGCTGACTGTTGGTTTTTCAGAGTGTATATATGTTCTGGTGCTATCATAGAAGTAAACTGCAATCCAGACCAGTTCAGTAAAGGTGATGGAGCAAATATATGGAAAGTGATTGCATAGAAGCCTGCAACTTTTTGGTGAATATGAAGACAGTTCCAGGACTCTATTTGGAATGTGGGCAGATTGGTCAGTACACATTAAGTGCCTTAGGCCTGGTTCACACCTGGGCGTTTTACAGCGCGTTCCTACACGCTGTAAAACGCTCAACATGTTAAAACCAATGATTGCCTATGGGCATGGTTCCCACCTGGGCGTTTTACAACCCGTAGGAACGCGCTGCAAAACGCCCTATGCCCAAAGAAGTACAGGATCTTCTTTGGGGCATATTTGCCACGCGTATTCATTAGGATACAGCCGAATAGCCCTTGGAAACGCGCGTTTGTCGCACATTTCTTTTACCGCAAATCGCTGTAAAAACGCACATATTCCGTACGCCTAGGTGTGAACCCAGCCTTAGCTTGTCGAGTGTTCAATCCAATTATTTAAATATAGATATAGGGATTCAATCCTCCATTTTTCCTGGCAGAGGGAAGCATTGTGTTACCAATGAGCTTTATACATACAAGCAACAAAAGGGAAAGTTTCTCCTTTGTTCAAAAGCCACACTGATTGCTTTCTGTCCTTCTTTATCCAAAAATAGGATTGAAGTGATTTTCAAAGATATAACATACAAGACATTCCAACTTTATGACATAATCAAAACAAACAAAAGAAATACAGTCTAATGTCTTTCATATACTTGGGCATAGTTAGTACCTCCATGATGTAGTTTATAGCTGTTTGTCCCACTTGGGGAGAACACATAAGTGATAGCACTTTTATTGGTAGGGTGGGTAAGGATTAGAATCCCTATCAGGTTTTTTTCCTCCCGCTGAAGAATTCCTAACTTACTTTCTTGGCAACACTAATGTGTCGCCAGAAAAGGCAATCACAGGACATTTTTCCACTGAGGATGTAGGCAGCAACAAAGACAAGGTAGAGTTTTTTAACCCTTTTCCACTGTAAAGCCAGGACTAGGCCTAAAATGTGGAATATAACGGTGCAAAAAATGAAAAAAGGGCCTCAGTCATGAAGGGGTAAGTGAATGTCTTCACTTAGTGCCATGTCATGTTAAAAAGATCTGGCCTGCAACATTGGTCAGATTTGGCACTGGATTGTTTTGCTGACTTCTTTTGCTCTCGTTCTGCTCCCAGGTCTACACATGCCTGGGAGAAACCAGCGCCAGAAACCAGCACAAATGCTCTTTTACATCCAGCACCCAAGTCTTCTAGACTGCAGCCCAAACATTTATTTCAGAGGTCTAGATCTGTATATATTATATAACGTTCTCGTATTATTACATGCTAATTTTTTAAACCTTCTTTTTGCTTGCCCATATTGTATCAAGGGCTATATAAATTTAATAGAATTTTTGTTTCATTCAGTGTCAGTGGGTGATAATTATATATACATTAAATATGTATTTTATATGTCACATGTTTATGAATTAGTAATAACTAATCTTTAGGGTGTATGTGCGTGTGAGGGGGGGTCATGATTGCAATATTTAACACTTTGATGTGTTTTCTGTATATCTTTGTAGGGCGGAAGGTTTATCACCTGCAGTTCTCTGAAGCACAAAGGCATTGGCTACTTACTGTGCACGGCCCGAGCAACCAATCCATTTCTCCTGTTATAAATGATAAGTGTCTCATCTGTGTGTGGAATATATGGCAGCCTTCTGCTCCACAGAAAATTCTCATGTGTGAGTCTGAGGTATGGGAATCTGTCATTCACCGCTCTGTAATGGTTTTGGAGAGTTTTAAAGTGCTTCCCCTAGAGTTACCTACGTTCACAATAGCATAATGCATGAGTTATTTTCTACCTGTATATCATCTTTTTATTTTAACAATCAATTTTTTTTTCACGTCATTAAATACATTACCATATACATCAGATGAATTTAGTAATTTTGGCTGTTAAAAACAATTTACAAAAAATATCATGCAGGCTTTTAAGCATTAAAATGCCACTAGTTTCTGGCTGGAGATAACCAAGTTTCAGTGAGGTGCATATCATAGGAATAACACTTAATTGGATAATAAGACCTTATAAGATCTTATAAATGGTATATGTTCATTTCACATGGAACAATTTTACACTGGTGCAGTATTTATTTTTGTGAACTGAACATCTGTGATGTGAAAATGTTAATGCGATAAAAGACACCCTGAAGTAAAATAACTCCTGTGAGTAAGAACTACTGTGTTATTTGACTGTTTCCCCCTAGCCTTTGGTCAAACCCAGAGAATAATTCCTTGGAATGAAACCCATCATAGTCTCTTTCCATGTGTCAATTATAATACACAGCTTCAACCCACATACAGTGCTTTGCAAAAGCATGAAGTTCACCTTGAACTTTTCCACATTTTGTAATGTTTCTACTTGGAATTAAAATGATTGTAGCTGAGATTTTATGACAGGGATCTACAGTAAATAGTCTACAATGTTGAACTTGAAAACTGCATAAATGCTGCAAAAGCTCTGGTATGATCAGCAGACTTCTGAAGTCACCTGTTTGCAACTGAAATGTCTTATAAACCAGTTAATGGAAGGTCCCAGTGTTTGTTAGAGAACATATTTATACAAACCGCATCAGGAAGACCATGGAGTTGTCAAAGCAAGTCTGGAATAAAGGTCTGGAGACGGACAAAGCAGGGTTTGGTAATAAAATATGAAAAGTTTAAACATCCCTGAATATGAAACAGTGGCCAGATGGGACACCAAGAGGCCAGTCGAATGCCTGAAAGAGGTGCAGAGATTCATACCTGAGATGGGACAGCTATAAAGCAGGTGCTCCACAAAGTTGAACTGTGTGAAAAAGTGACAATTAGCTTGCCATTGCTAAAAAAAAAACAAATCCCATTTAAAGTTTGCTAAAACGCATGTGGAAAAAGCGCAAAACATCTCTCGTCATATGTGTGGGTATAAACGCTGCTTGTCTTCCTGAGAACAACACTCCCATTGTAAAATATGGTGGTGGCATCTTGATATTGGGATGCTTTTTATGGGACTTGTAGATTGTTAAGGGTTGAGGGACTAAGTCTGGCCTACTATACTAGAAAATGTGTATTGGTTCGTATGAGATCTGAGACTGGGTCAGAGGTTCACCATTCAGTAGGAAATGACAGCCAAAGATGCACTGGAGCAGTGTAATCCATAAACTTCAATGTCTAAGAATGGCTCAATCAAGCACAAACTTCCATCAAATTGAGTATCTATAGCAAGACTCCATACAAATTGCTTGTTCTTCTTAGGGTTAGGGTTAACCCTAACAGGCCTAGGACAATTGTGCCAAAAATGTATGAAACTGGCTAGAGCAAGATGTGCAAAGAAGGTGTGCGTGTTGAACACATATGCAGAAAACAAATGTCTTCATATTTGTTTGCTGAACCTTTTTTCAAAGTGTTCAGTCTATTGTGGAAACCAAATAGGAAAAAATCCTAGGTCAATCCATTCCATTCTAGGTTTTAACATGTAAAACACAAGGGGATTACTACTTGTGCTAAATTGTAAATGAAGGTATTTACAGTGTAAGTTAACTACCATTGAGTTGTTGTCTGCCTTTGCTCTGCAATAGCACTGTTGATAATAATAATTAAACAAAAAAAACAGTATAGATTACAGCTAAGGAGAAAAACATTTGACCACCAGATTCTTACAATCTCAGCCAAACCACAAAACCAAGTTCAACTAATATAAGCTACATAAGAAGTCATGCGCTAAAAGCTTGCAGTTTTGATGTAGATGTGCCAAATCTCACCTGGTGTCTCTGTAAGTGATGTCTGAAATTGCAGCCTAGAAAATCCCTGGAGCTGTAGGAATAGTTTTTGTCATACTATTTTACATTATATGATTCAGGAACACTGGAGCCTATTTCTTTTCTCTGAGAAACTTTACTATCAATTTACTGTCCTTTACTTTATTCTTCTAGGTGAAATGCTGCTGTTTCAGCCCAGGTAAAGCATCTCTGGTGTTTGCTGGTACAGTAGATGGTTCTGTGTTAGTATGGGACCTGCGAGAGGACTTCAGTATGCATCAGACTTTAACGATAGAAGATGCTAACTGGACATTCAGATCTGTGACCTTTTCTACTGGTTAGTGGTATTTCTTACTTGCTTGATATTACTTGTTCACACTATCATATTCCACCTAAAAAGAGTAACAATTAGAGTTGATATGATAGATTTGCATAAACTGTACTCTTTAATTATGTTGTTTGATTGGACCTTAAAGCAAAACTGTAATGGCAGACTTACCTGCTGTTGTTTTTTTTTACCTGGCCTTTTTTCTTTTTTACCTGGCTTCTTCTTGGTTTCCAACTCTCATTGTTGTCCCCAGCATCCTGCTGCATTTTATGCATGTTACAGATGTGGGGATGAGCAAGGGTGCACACTGCACTGTACGTGTGCCACAGAGAGTGTACTCCATTGAAAATAAAAAATTGGCGCGGGGGGTACTTTTCTCCATGATCCCTGTGTGTGTTGTAAAGTAGTCACCGCTCCAATCTCACTCCCGTGATGGACTACAATCTGAATACAAAGTAGTAAACTAAACATGAGATTGTAGTCCATCACAGGAGTGAGCTTGAAGTGGTGGCTACTTTACAATACACACACAGGGACCATTGGGTACCAAAGGAAGCCACCCTCCAGAAGTAAGGACAGTGTCGGCATAAATTCAGAGATGATTTGAGGATCCACAGCTGAGTGATGTACAATTCAGTACCTGGATTTCCACTCGCCCCCACGCAATTTTCACTCGCCAATTGCGAGCGGGCGAGTGGAAATTTTGAGCCCTGGTTAAGGTACCTGAATGCATTTTTAAGGTTTAACTTCTGAGTTTAGTGTCCACTTTAAGTTGACATATAACATGTGGTTGACAATAGATGTTTGTGTTCTTGCAGATGGGGTTTTCACTTCGGTGAATCACACACACCCAGTAAAGTCAATAGAACCTGTTCTGAGTGCGGAAGCAAAGGATCATGGGATATCTACATTATCTTCTCAAGGAGAAGGTACATAAGGTCTTTTAACCACCTGTACCCTACAATATAGCAAGTATTACTCCACTCTATAACAAAACTTCGTTTACTGTTTTTTCTCTGGACATGCAGTCTGCAGAAGAGATATAATTATTTAGAATATAAAAGCTGTAAGGCTGAAATAAAGTATACAAGAATTTTTATGAGAATTAATCAATTAAGGTTTTTTTTCCCCTTATATTCAGGGCAAACATGGTAACATAAATTGTTATAATTAAGCAAGAAAAAAAAAAATGTTGAAGAAAGATGTCACTTTAAAATATTTATCTGATTATATCAAAATATCAAAAAGTTTATAAACCCCAAAATATAAAAAATAATCCTCCTCTGTACCCATTCAATTTCTTAGAAGCTTGCGTTATCTTACTCCCCCACTCAGCAATACCAGCCTGCTTTCCTGCCTAACTTGGCTAAGATACCTTCTTCTAATATATAAATAAATACATACCAATGGGATACTGCATTCCAGTAAAAGTTCTTCATAACAGACGATGTGTGATAAAACTCAAAGTACTGTTATGAATAAGGCACAATTCACACACGAATCGGCCTGCACGTACAGCTCCATGCTGCGTGCGGGGCCGTACCAAGCAGATGCCGGGGCTACGCGGCCGTACGACCCCCTATGCTCACCTCAATTGAAGGTCCGTAGGGGTGCGGGTGAGCGTATTCATACGCCGCCGGAATGGATCCTGTATGCGTCCCGGCCAGAAAACCCGCCATATTAATCTTCATGATGCCCAAAGGGTTCCTTCACGCCATTAGCGGCGATTGGTGTTCTTCAGCTGCCGGTCAACACGGGTGTGATGTGTGGTGCAGTACGCTAGGGTACATAGAAAACAGTTGTTTTCTATGTGACCTGTTCACACCGCAACATGGATGTGATGTGTGGTGCAGTGCAGAAAAATGCAGACATGTTGCACTTTTCCCCAGCGCACAGGATGACACTGTTAGTCACCACAGTGCAGCACACTCCACTGCTGTGTGGAGAGCCGAGTGAAGTGTACATTTTGTACATAAAGTTTAAAAAAAAAGTAAACAGTGTGATGCTCAAACAGCACATCACGGTGCCCCCGGCAGGACTCTTAGCATGCGGGTTAGTGTGAACTAGCCCCGACTGTTCTTCTCTAGAGCAGATTGTTTACAGGCAGCCATTCATTTTTTCAGCATATTACTGTTAAACCTGGCTATATAGTAACCCTCACAAGTTCTTAAATGTTTTTCCCTGCATCTATTTGTTTAAATTGCATTATTTCTCAAATACTTTCTCTTTTTTTTTTTAGAGGTTTCTGGTTTGTCGTTTCAACTAGCATCTTTAGATGAAAATGGCCATTTAATTTTTTGGGTGAGTTTAAAATAATAGAGCAGATGAAAATGTGCATATAGAATACATCAATACTTTCTAGTTTTTAGCTTTATGCTGACTTTGCGAGCTCATTTATAATAACTGCGGGCCTCTAAGAAAGGGTGGACTTTAAAAATATATTAAACATTGCCATTGATTTTGGTGCGCTTGAAACGTACTCACTGCAAATTTTCAATTACAGGTAGTTGTGGAACTGAGAAAAGTAGACCTATCAGGATCTCAGAGTGACTTGGGTAAATATTTCATGTGACTGTTCTTAATACAGGCAATCCCCGGTTTATGAACAAGATAGGTTCTTCTTCTTAAGTTGAATTTGTATGTAAGTTGGAACAGGTACATTTTTTAAGTGTAACTCCAGCCCCCAATTTTTTTTTTTAGTTTTGGATAGCGATAGCATAGGGAAGGGTTACGCCCTCCCTGTAATGTTTGTTTTCCTGTATGTGCCCCTGTTCAGAAGATTCCACCTCACTTTCTGTCCCTGTGACAATTGAATTTTAGAAAATTTTGGGTTGTCATAGAAACAAGGATGGTGATAAAACTTCAATGGAGACACCTTTTTCCCCCTGATAACTCTTACAGGAGTGAATTTCCCTTCCTAGGGGTAGATTTCCCCTCACTTCCTGTTGTCTCAAGGACAGGAAATGAGATGAAATCTTTCTAATGAGGATACAGACAGCAGTAAAAACCTCAGCGGGCACCCCTCGTCTACATGTCTAACAAGAGCCAACTTCCTGTAATGTATGTACAGTACTACGAACCAGACCCCAAAAGGTCGGACACTCCTCGTCGGCACGAGCGCGGTAGCATTACAACTACCCCTGCTGTACAGTAATAGCCTCCGTTTGTAAGGAGTTGTATGTAACTGGGGGACTGCCTGTACCATCTGAAAATGATTACATTTCCCATGCATTTTTATGGAATAAGGTTTTTTGCGATATCACTCATCTTCACTGTGACCTCTAACCTTTTGTAAGGCTCTGCTAATAGTGGTGAGCAATCAGCTTGAGTCCACTCCAGTTAATGGCCCTTCCCAAGGCCAGTTTGTTTGTGCCTACAGAGCATATGTATAGATTTCAACTATAAAAACACATATTGTTAGTTAGAGGTTTGGAAACTTACTCAGGCCTGTCATTTATCAGCGGCTATGTCAGGGGCCATGACTTTTATGGCTTGGGACATCTAAATATGTAGAGTAGAAGATATGACATTGGACAGATGTGGATATACATCTAGGCACAGAATAAAGACTGCATATAAATAAACAGTAGATATAAGCCAGAATTGTCTTGTGGAATCTGGGTAGTATATGATATAAGCCAGAATTCTATTTAAAGAGAACCTGTGAGGTTGGTGCCTCAACACCTCTTCCTGATGCACCAACAGCTATGCTTTGTAAAGAATACAGTCCTCTTGTATTCCAAACCCTTTACTCTTTTATTGTTACAGGCCATGTAATATTACTATTGAAGTCACTTAAGTGACTCCTTAGGTGTAATCTGGTGTATCTGCTGGTACATGTAGATGTACTGCTGCTACTATCAAAGGAATGCTATGAAAGTACAGAGATTCTCTCTTCAGTTTGTTCAGTTAAGATTTGAAAATGAAAGAGAGAAGCTGATTGGTTGCCATGCACAGCTGCTCCAGATTTTAGCTGCTCCACTTTTCAAAAAATTCCCCTCAATGTGTTTTGCATTCAGCTTTTTCTTTTAAATGGGAGAAGTGGGCAAGGCGGCTATCTAGACCATTGAAAGTCGGGTTCACCTGCGTCAGGAAGTGGTAACTCTGTTTATAGCAAAGGTTGAGATTTAAGCTGAAGATATAATTGCAGGCTTATTTTCACAAACTTTTCATCAAACAGGTTTGATTCCGGGAGGAAAAGTGAAGCTAATACACAGTTCATCTATAGATCTTATTGACAAGTAAGCGTTCATGTCATGTGGGATCCTAGATTAGACAATGTTGTGCAAAGTTGATGATTTAACCTGCTTACTCTGGGACAAAAGCTTATGGTTTTTATAAAAAATGGCCTGGCCAGGAAGGGGGTCTAAACACCTGGTCTTGAAGTGGTTAAAGAATCCTGCATGGAGTCTACTTAGAATTGTGAATCTCCAACATACTGAAGTAGTGTAACTGTGTGCACAGCAAAAGTTAATGAACCCATCGCACTCCTGACCGATTGTTCCACGAAAGAAAGGATGGGTGCTGCGGCAGTCAACGTGTGGCAACCGTTAAATGCATATGTAGAAACGGGGACACCGGCACTCCAATTGCAATTTTAAATACGTCTGTTTGTTGACGTTGGGACAGCATATCACACTGAAGCAACATTTCGGGGTCACGCAGGATCCCCTTCCTCAGGCAAAAACATGTGAAGTATATACAAAACTATAAGCATATGCTTATGCTAAAGAAGAGAGGAGAGACATGAACAGGCCCATACCCAATATATGTAGGTAATCATTTTTAGCGATCGGGAAGGAAACATGAAAGTGTGAGGCTGGTGTTAAGTCACCTGGGAATGACAGTATCAAGTGTATAGATCCAATATGCCTCGCGTTGTAGTAGGAACTTGTCATGGTTACCCCCCTACTTGTTTTTGCCTGAGGAAGGGGATCCTGCCTGACCCCAAAACGTTGCTTCAGTGTGATATGCTGCACCCACGTCAATAAACAGACGTATTTAAATTGCAATTGGAGTGCCGGTGTCCCTGTTTCTATATATGTGTGCACAGCAGACGCTGCACTTTTCAGTCATCTTATTTCTCATATTGACCTTGTGGAAAAGAGGAGCGCATATAT